AAATTTGGAGATGCTTATCTACAAATAAAATCGTTATGAGGGGGAATAGCTCAGTCATTTTAAATCACCGTCGAAGAAATAAGATGTCCTTTCTTTGAAAGAACCTCTGAACTAATGCACGTTTTAGTGCAAAATAGGTTAGAGTGAAAGAAAGCATACTTGCTTCGCTCGAATATTTACTGCACTTGTTCAGAAGCTCTTTGTAAACGCGCCAGACATATCAAACACTCGAAAATGCGTCGTCCAAAGTCGTGACAAAGAGACGTGCGCACAGACACGCGGAATGACCGCGTTAGTTATGCAAATTTGGAAAATATACGACTCAATTGGAAACATCGCAAGGTCAACGTAAGCCCCGAGTCACGTCGAAGCCGTCGTGATGCAATCGACAAAGGAGAGGACCGGACGAACGGGGTAACGACTGGCGATATCGCTGTGGCGATCGCAATTCGACGCGTCGGCGGGCTCGCGATGTCGTCGATAAGCGTGTGCGATATCAACAGGTCCGCCGATGCGTCGGACGTGTCGCGGGACAAAGCGCAAGTCTCGCGTTACACGCGGCGGCATGCCCGCGCCGTGCTGCCTTCGCTGTGCGTGCGTACTACGTACGTACGTACGCGTGACGCATATTTACCTGCAAGTCCAGCGGGCGAGATGCGGTTTCCCCAAGGTTTCTCCTTGAAAATTCCACCACTGCTGCTGCTGCTGCTGCTGCTGCTGCTGCTGCTGCTACTACCACCACCACGCCACTACACTGTGTGTACACCGGCGGCGGCACACCACTCTGCATCACCTCACCAACACGCGCGAAACGTGTCGTCGCGCGGCATCGCCGTTACTGCTGCTGCTTCTCTTCTCCATGCACTCGCCAAGCTGCCGCGTCGAGTGTTCGCTCGGCGCGCATATCGAGACACTTTTGATGATCGGAGGACGCGCGGCCGACGCGCTTGGGAACTTAAACGATGGAGCGTGAGAGCGAAGTGAAACGCGCGGTCCAAAAGTCGTGTTCTCACGGCTCAGATCGCGTCAACAGAGTGACGTTTGCGCCGAGTGCCCGCGACTGTCAAGCAAATGTCACCTTGGTCCGTTTTCACACGCGACGCGACGCGACCGCGTCGTCGGGCGTCGTTGATACACACATATACACACACACAGATGCCACGCGCGATGCGCTCGCGTACTACGTCAACGAGGAAACGTGATAATAGCACGCGCAAGCGTGAGCACGACGGACACACGCGAGCGCGATACCTGCGGATGCCGCTGCTGCTCCGTCGCGAATGGCAGCCACAGCTTCTCGCGACGGCCGTTACGAGCGCTGCGCATGCGCCCCGGACGATAGAGGCGCTGGAGTGGGGCAGCGTTCTTTCCGTCATTTTGAAGTGTGTTCATTCCTAGGTGTACCGCGCTACACTTTCTGCACTTGGAATGGTAGGACTGTTCTTTTTAGCTGAACTGATGCTGTAACGAAATTTTGTTGTTTTTCCTTTTGTTACGTCCCGGCGGGTTGCGGCCACGCTGCTGTGAAGAATAGCGCTCGAATAGCACGGGATCAGATCGCAATTTTTCGGGTTAAACGAATCGCGTGATTCTACTCGGGGATCCGTGCGATCAAGGGTAATCGCGATGGATTTCGCGCAAGACGCGTAGTATAACCACCGTAGTATAACCTTACAGTGGGTCGGACAGTCGCAGGCGTTAATCGTAGTTTCGCGCGTATAGAAACAATGTAGATAATGACTTACCAGTGGTTGTCCACCGCGCGGTTGCTTTCTGTACCCCTGGATGGCGCTCTCGTGGCTTACGTGGATCGGTACCTCCTGGACCTCTAGATGCTGCCGACTCTGGGGAACCTCGTTCTGGATCGCGCGGCGGAAAGTTCGAATATTCAAATCACTTGTAGTTGACCGATGGGCACTAGGGAGGAACACCGCATGTCGCGGTTTCGTTTAGACATAGGAGGAAATGTGCCGTGTAAGGATGTTCAAATGGGAGGGAGTAGAAATAGAATTACTACAGATAATATATATATATATATATATATAATCTAAAATATGTGTGCACTTTTTTATTTAATTCTTGACACGGATGAATCATTGGTTCATACTATGGAACACGATGAACACCACACATGCTGCAGTATGTACTCAGTTATGACATTTGCACATAAAACGCGGAAACTTTTTGTAGCGCAACAAAATGACGCCGTCTACAATAAACCCATTGTAGATGGCCCTTGTCAATAATCTTAATTTAAGCTGTAAATCTTAAAAAATTGACCAATTGTAGTTGATTATTAGGTGCGCAACTAAGTTCCCGCTGTTTGTCAATAGATGGCTCCAGCAGTAAGTGCTGGTCGATTTTGACATATCCAAAACGTCATGAACCAAGCTTAGACATATGGTAAACAAACCGCTTTGACACGTTAGTGATTTTGTTTTGGCGTCATATACTTTTGGTTGTGTAAAAATGTCTAATTTTGTGCCAAATAATCGTCATTTGCGGGAAGTGTTGATTTTCTTATTTCATTCGAAAAAAAAGGCGGCTGAAGCGCATCGAGAGCTCCAAAAAGTTTACGGAGATGCTGCTCTAAGTGAAACAACGTGCCGTGATTGGTTTCGTCGCTTCAAAGACGGTGATTTCGATGTTGACGACCATCCGCGTGAAGGAAGGCCAAAAACCTTCGAAGACGCTGAATTGGAGGCATTGCTCGATGAGGATCCGTGCCAAACGCAAGAACAGCTTGCTTCAGCATTAGGAGTTACCCGCCAAGCCATTTCCAAGCGATTGCATGCGTTGGGAATGATTCAAAAGCAAGGAACTTGCAACAAAAAATAGTTGACTATGATTGATCAATTTCTTAAAACTTACGGCTTAAATGTACAATGTAGAATTTTCGTAAATATATTAAAATATGTGTTATGTTTAATATAGGTGCACCGTAGTATATAACAAATGTTGCTTACAAACAATAAAAAAATAATGAGAAAATTAGATGTTATTATAAATTTAATATCAAATTCGGAATTGCCCATAAGGAACAACAATGATGATTGCGCTGAAGAAACTTTATTACCAAATTTCCCAATACCGAATATAGATCAGTTCCAAAAATTTGAAACGGATTTGCGCAATGATACAGAAATTAGAAATTAGAAGTGTTAGCTAACACTTGACCTTTATTTTTGGGTTTCCCCTTTTCCTGTTGTTGCTCAATGATACCTGCCAAGATTTCTGCTAAGGGCAGCATTTCTTCGGAGGAGAAACCTCGGAGATATCCGTCATTGATGATTCTGGCCCAGTTGAACCCGTACTGAAGTTTGGTCTTCTGATTTAGATAGGTCTGGAAGAATTTTAGTATAATTTTCCAGTACCCCATTGTCAAGTTAGTGTTTGACTTTTGGGCAATAATTCCCCAATCCTATTATTTAATTGATATCATTGTTATTGAGTTCTTATTTTCTTTCTCTTAACTTTTTTTTAGAATAACTAACAGTAAGAATTGAAGAGAGGCAAATAAAGAGCAAACACGGATGTCTTAGTGCTATTAAATACTAGTATTACTTTTACATAATATTAATATGATAGTGAGAGGATAATTATATCCAGCATGTCAAACGCACGTATCGAAATTTTTCTTTGATTAACGTACGCGGCGAATCTACCTTTCAATACTTAGACCGATCCTTGAGTCCCAATTTTATATATATATATATTTAAAATTCCCAAAACCCATTAAACCGATGACTCAAATAGATTCATTATATATATTGTGAAAAAACTGTCCGCCAGGACTCGAAACTGGAACCTCCCCACTTTCCGGGCGGGACGTCTTTCCATTCGGCCACCGAGGTTTCGACAGTAAACATGCTCGTTTGACATGCTGAACATAATTATCCTCCCACTATCATATTAATATTATATAAAAGTAATATTAGTATTTAATAGCATTAAGACATCCGTGCTTGCTCTTTATTTGCCTCTTCAAATCTTACTGTTAGTTATTCTAAAAAGGATTCTTTCTATAATTTCTGTTTATCTTAAGCATTGGCGGAAGAATATATGCTATCTCTCTCTCGTATAATAATATCGGTAATTATGAAGTTTAGCACCACTACCGCTTCGCGGAAGAGAACGACGATTTTATTAGAGGAAAAAGTTGTTTCTTTTTAAAAAACGCGTCGATTGAGCCTAGTTTCGTCAAAATCGGAGGGGGTGGTGCTAAACTTCATAATTACCATAACATCTCTTACGAGATCGACTCTTTCTTTCTTTCTCTCAATTTACACCTTAGAGAATTTATAAACATTGTGTTGCGAACTTACTGTTAGAAAACTGGAGTTTGGAGGCGAGGGCTACCTTTGGACTTCTAATCCCGGCACCCGACTCTGACTGATTACTTCGCCGGTCACTACTCTACTGCTACTGAGCTCTTGTGATCCCGTCCTTAGGAGGGGGTTTGAATGGTAGTGATGCCATCTGAAATGCCTTCCTTTTGCGAAAGGAAGGTTTCGTACCTGGAGTGTCTCAGGTAAAGGATTGTTTGGACAAAAAATTATTACTGGCTGGCGGCCTGGCCGGTCGGACGTGACACTTTCAAGGAAAGCTATTGTATGTTTGTTTCACTTTTAAAGTGTAATCGAACTCAGTTGAAAAGAACAGACCTCTAGTTTCACGATCACTTTTATCTTCTTCTGGAAGATCTTACGCGACATTCTAGATCTTTTTTTTTCTAGCTCAACTTCTTGAACTGGTGCAGACTGGTACAATAAGTTAGAATGAAACAAAATATATTTGTTTTAGGCTGATATTTCACGTGTCGTACGACAAGCTTTTTGGATACGTTCATTAGTTGATGAACAGAGAACCTAGAAATACTCTATTCTCCAACCAATAAACGTATCCGAAAAGCTTGTCGTACGACACATGAAATAGCACCCTTATTCTAATTTACTGCACTAGTGTATTAGTTTAGACAGTTCAGTTAAAAAGAACAGACCTCCTGACTTGGATGACATCACGGTACGGTAAATATGGCCGAAACTTGATGCCAACGTGACGAGCGTCGTAACTATCCATCGAATATGTAAATAAAAGTGTATTGCAATGATTAAATCAACGTGACAAATTGCTAATTGTGAAATGGAGGAAGATATTAATATTTATGCGGATTTACCCAATTTTAATCTAGTGGAATCTGACATAAATGTGAGGTTCACTTACGGTAATAGTATAATTAGCGCTACTCAAGATTTGTACACAAACATGAATCAAGGCTGCATAAAATCAAGATTGCATGAATTTAGGCTGCATAAAAAATATTGAATAGTGTAGTAAAAATAACTTATTTTTAGTTATCGTGTTTATTATGAACAAAATTAATTTTACAGAAGCAAAACTAGATTGAAAAATAAGCCAAGAAAAATCGTGTGCAATTGTCTTAACTTTATTCTTCTGAAAAGAAATCTACGTAATTACTAATATTACTAACATTAATAATTATGGACTAATTCTGTACATCTATATATAACGTTAACGTTTGCATTTGGCACCATTAGTTAGCCCATTTATCATACAATAAAAATTAATTTTCTTTGGGTCTTAAATAAAATATGCAATTTGTGATAAATTCAATAAACATGTACTTAAATATATTTCTTTTGTAACATGGCAAGGATCAACCAAAGGCAGATCATACTTGCAATTATGAAGAATTGGAAAAGAAGTTTGTTTCACTTACCAGTAAATTTGAAAATATGAAGAAGGTTAATGAAAACTTGGAGAAAAATCTTGCTTCCTTACTGAAAACTGCAAAGGCAGAAATTACACGGAAAGACAAGATGATAGAAGAACTCAGAAATCAGTACATACTTGTTATAGATTAATACAATTTCTTGAAATTTTTTGTGCTAATATTACAAAAATAATTGCAGATTGGATAATGTAGCCTTTAGAAGAAACAGAAATGGATCTCTAGAATTGTCTACTCTCAGATCATCATATCACAATACAATGACAGAAAAGTATGAAAGTGTTACTCCTTTGATAAATTCAGAAGAGAATACATTTATATCTCAACAAATTGAGTCAAGTTACACTGAATACAAAAGCAGAAAGCCACGGAGTAACACTGACCAAATACCAGTTACAGTATTTGGAGAAAGGTTACATAAGAGAATTATGGATGATACAAGAGAGGACAAGAAATTGAGAGCATCAAAGCTTAACTCAGATACTAATGTAAATAAGATCTCTGAAGAGTGCATTGTAGAAAGTGATAAAGAGAATGGATCTCAATCCAGTATGAATAATAATGGCAATGAATTTAATGTTGTTACTCGAAGTTCTAATTCAGGTATTATAATTATACAAATATATACATTTAGGTATATAAGATTTGACTTTTAATATTTATATTTTAAAGACCATGTATGAATTTTGTTAAGTAGTTAAATATAGTTAAGTGATATGATGAGTTTCTTATTCTGTAAATATAATAATTAAGGATACAATCTAATTATCGTAGATACTTCATATAAAAAGAACTTAGGGAAGAGATTGAATGAAGAGGACGATACGTGTAAGAACAAACGTTTAAAGACTAAAGAAGATATCGAGGATAGGAATGATGATGACATCGATTGCAACTCTATGATACAATACGACACGAAAGACGATCTCACGAAATTGGAAGATCAACTGTGTGCTATGTATTCCATTAAAAAGGACCAAGTTCCACTCGAGACGAAACGCAGAGCTACTTCAGAGCATGGAGATATGAAACAAACGCAAAATTGTAAAAATGGATGGAGGAAAGAAGAAAGAATCAGCGCATCGAAGGATTACAGTGATACTCATGTCAGGAAGGGATCTGTTGATAGCTCAAGAAGTCGGACTACTTCGATATCGAATGAAAGATTTAATAACGACCACCAGCACGATCATTACATCAATAGTCACAGAAAAAATGACTACAGGCATGGTTCATCGAGTTCTAGGAGTTTTTTTAAGAATAGAAACGATTACGAAAGTTCGAGCAGTTATCGCTTACGAGAAAAATCAAGCAGGATGTATAGAGATAGGAAATACGACGACTATAAATATGATAGTCGATATAAGAATGATAGATCGAGGAAGAATTATAACAGCAAGGAAACTAGTGGTGTTAAAACAAGATATAGTAGTAGAGAACGCGGCGATTTGCGAGATAGACTGAGACACACGAGTGACGTTGAGAGAAGTGATGAAGAGAGAAGGAGCAGAAGTGGTTTACATAAAAGTAACAAGTACGATAATCACAGACTAAAGGAAACTATGGCGAATTCGGAGGATAAGAGATCACACAAAGGTAGTAAAACCATAGTAGAAATTGATTCTCGAGTGTCTTCTAGTCGAACGATTGTAAATAATACAGTGGAGCACAGCGTTGGAAAAAGTACCGAACAGCACAGCGTGAAGAACGAAACATGTGAACCTACCAGTTCTATAGAAAGTGTGTCGACATGTGCTACTACAAAGGATGAGAGTCATTTGGAAGAGGGTGAGATTTTAGACAGTCCCAAGTCTAATCTCAAAAAGAATGATTCTGCAAAAATTTCTACAATTCAAACAGTGGAAAAAAATGTTGCAGAAACTTCTATTCAAGTGGAAGGTATAAGCGAGAATGCGTCTGTGGATATCCAAAGAAATACGGAAAGCACGTCTCACGTTAAAAACGATTTGACACAGTTCAATCCAGCTGATGAATGCGTTTCAATGACTGCCGAGACATGTTTTAACAACTTGATGATGAATGATCTGCACTCTGATAAAATTGTAATATATCCCAGCCTTCCAAGTCCGGAGATAATCGGAGGTTGTAATAATAATGGCGATTATGAGTGTGAAGATTGCATCGAAGAAAATGTAACGGATGACGCCAATCGCCCTGTCGAAGAAACGTATGATTTCAATAACGAAAATGTTATCAGAAGCGAGGAGGTAGGCAATGCTAGTGCCGAAGATACTACTAAAGTTGATGAAGTAACAACAATGTTAGGTTTTGCAAGCTCATTATCACTTAATATCAACAATATTCGCCAAAGTGACCATGAAGTAGCAAGTTCTGCTTCTGATGGAGTTACGCAAGTCGAGACTGTGCCTAATTGCGAAAACGCCTATGAAAGTCGAATATCTAATAGAAACGAAACTTTTTATCAAATACCTGGTAATAGCAACGCCGAGGCGAGCCATACTTGCCTGGGCGATCATAATTACGTTCGAGACACCGTCATCGACGTCTCCGATTTGCATGTTGTACCTAACGGCTCAGAACGTCATGAATCCGCGCCGGATACTGCGACATCGAAGGAAACTGAAGCAGAAGGAACAGTCAACGCTCAGTCAGTTGACACTAAGAAAACAACGTCGACTACGGTGAAGAGCAAAAAGGACCAGAACAGCAACAAAGCAGTAGTGATCTCGCGTCGTCGAAAAGCCGTCACATTGAGCGACAATAACGCGTCTATGACTGTCTTGATAAATACGGACTCGGCGAAATTGTCCCTTGTTGTTGATAATTCCGTCAGTGACAAAAGTGACACTGTGTCGAAGCCGCGGGCGTGTAAGCTCGCGCGCACTATAAAGCCGCCCTGTAAATAATTATAATATATAGCTGTCTGACGATAAGTGTTTCATATCTGATATATATGATTCAGTCAAACTGAACACAAAAGTCTATTTTGCTAATAACTATATATTATTTTGAGTTATTAATTAAAGAAGATTGGCGCGATACGGCAGATTAGCTGTGATGGCGATGTCTGCTTGTATGTATATAATACATGATGATAATATATATAATAACACACATGCATATATATATAATTTGTGTGTATATATATATATAGTGTTTTATCAATTTGAAAATAACCCTATAGACTTTTAATTATTAATTAAAGCACATTGATGCATTATCACGCGCGATCATCTGCCAATCGTCTTTCTGTAATAACTTAAAAATCTACTTTAATAACTAAAAAATCTGATTGCAAAATAATACAGAACTCTTCTTCATTTTGACCTAATCTACAAGCACACGACGACAAGCATTGTTATCATAACTCATCTGCTATTATTACGCGTGATTATTTGCCAATCTCCTTTAATTAATAATTCCGAATTTTACACGGTTGTTTCTGCAAAATGGTAGAGGAATTATGTGATCATTTTGACCTAATCTACATGTACACAAGACACTGCATAACTTATACTTTTTGTAAGTAGTGTTAATAAAACTGCAGATACGTATATGAATACATATACTGCATATGTGTAAATTACGTTTATGTATAATCTTCAACTATGTATAAACTGCGGATATATATAAACGAGGAATTTTGAACAGAAATCCATCGCACAAAGCTGTACAATATTTTTTTGCGAAAATTTTTATCTTAATTGATAAGTTGCGGAGTTTTTCCAGAAAAAATTCCTGGACATAGTCTATTCCTCGAGTGTCCAAAGATAAAAGGCCCTTTAAGCCTTTCATTCTCTTGATGTTCTGGCTATAGACCGATACAGTTCGGCGAGATAGGAACAGGGAGATAAAAGCGAAAGCCTTTCTATATAGAACTAAAACGCGATCAAGAACATGGATCTCCTGTAAGTAATTTTCTGCCTTTCTATCACAAAATATCTTATTCTTCATTTGGGAGCATCTGTTTATAACGAGATTCTCGTCATCGAAACACTGTTATTCTATCTGCCCTACTCCTTTCTCAAAAAAGGACAAGGTCTATTTTTAAATAGCTGACGATTTTAAAATATTTCACAGAGGAAGGAGAAGAGAAGGGGAAACTTTCGAAAGAGGCAAAAGCTGGCATTTCGCATCGCCAAATCCGAATTACACAGCTTGCATCGATCTGCGGAGGAACGAACGAGCGAGCGTCCGCGTCCGCGTATCGATCGCGGAAAATAGCCGGCGCTGGTACGCGCGCGTTCGCACGGCGGCCGCTGACGTCACTGGGGGCCGTTCGCGTGCCGCGCTTCGCGACGTCAGCCACAGAGGACGTCGGGACGACGCACCATGGACGTCGACGTCGTTGTCGCTGCCACCGGGATCATATACTAACTGACGCTTCCGGGAACAAAGCTCCGCTCGCGAGCATGTGCTCCTAGACAGCGTTCTCATCCGCGACGGTCTTGTCTCGACGACGACGAGAAGGAGGAGGAGGAGGAGGAGGCCAGGTGCGATCCCGCAGGGACGCGCGGTGCTCTCTCAATCGCGGCCCGTACGGCCGCGCCGTTCGTTTCCGGTAATCGATCGACTCGATTCGCCCCGACCAGGCCGACAAGATGGGCTCTATAGTGCTCAAGTCGCTCTCAGTGCTGCTCGGCATATTTTTCGTTTTCGTCGGTACGATGAAGCTCACGTCGCACATCAGCAAGGACCTGCATAAGGACCTGGTAAGTTGTCTCCCCGCGACAGAGAGATCCTCCTCCTTGCTCGCGCATCGCTCCGACGAGAGACACCGTTGTTGTGTGAAGGCACGATAAATGGCGGCTGATGTCGGTGGTTTAACAATCGGCAAAGTTGACAGTTAATTGTTCAACTTGACAGTGTGAATTTCAAGCTGGAATTTTCACGAAACTTGTCGCACGGTAAAGAACCGATTGACGAATTCCGACAGGACAATGTGCGTAAAGCTGATAAACGGTGCTCTGTTAAAATCCTTACGATCAATATCGCGTTAGCGAGTTCATTAGTCTTGGGATTAACGGTTAATCAATTGGAAAGACTGCTCTTAAATTTAACGGTTGATATGCAACTGTCAAATCAAATCGATCACCGTCCAAGTGGCGATCTTTCCACAGATAATTTGTTGAATGTACATATTCGACATTTAATTAATTATTACATAGGTGTAATTGATTAACGGTGTAATTAATTAGATAAACAGTAAACAATTATGAAATTGTTTAATAACACCAGACTGACAGATTGAACGCTATTTGTCGTCCGTACTCTCCTTATATCCGTTGCTTATGTAATTCTACGAGACGCCGACGTCGGTACCAAAGTGGACACGCCAAGAGTACGAGCCACTGTGTGTATCTGTCACAGCCCGGTTTATTATGTAATATTATGTGCCTGAGTTTGTAACCGCTACCCTTGATATCCCGCCGTTATAGTTGCGTGTGCTTATAGCAACGGCGCTCCCCTTCGCCAGCTAAAACACCCGGTGTTGTTCCCACGGCCATTTCCGCATCGTTAACATCCGGAAGATCGAATCGAGCGTTTGTTTGGGGTTTAAACACGAGAAATCGCCGCTTTTTATGTTCGCAAAAAAATACACAAGTTTTCTTTCCAACGAGATTTTTAAAGATAAAATTATTTTCAATAAATACCTGCAAATCGATGAAATCCTTATATATTTTTATCTGCTTTTTTATATTTCAAAATTTAAGAATCAAGATTTTTAGAATTTACTTAAATTAACTTAATTGTAAATGCACAGAGAAGAAAGAAAGAATAATAATGTTTCACCCTATTTGTCGAATTTTTTCCTATAAAAGATATCCATCTAAGTATCTGTCTGTTCATCTTTTTGGATCATTTCATTAATTTTGGCATGTAAGAAATTACTTTTCCAAATTAAACATTGCTTTTATAGCTTTTATAGCATTGACGAATTAAAGTACTAACTATCTGATTGCGGCATCACGAGTATATCAATCGCAACGAGGCCAAGGTCGTCAGCAGAAAAGAAATACAATTTCTGAAGTCTGGCCGATCGTAAGACGCAACGTATACCGGGTCTTCTAGCTTGTTATAGACGGTGTAAAAATATACTCAGCAATAATGCGCTCAATAACGGCGGCTACAGGTGTGCTGGGATATAACACGACGCTTTCTTTCTCTCTATTAAAGGTATAATATTTGTACGTCCATGTACACTGTTGCTTTACAGGATGTGAGACCATTAACATGTTTTTATGGAATTTTTAAAATTAAAACTTACGTTGTTTTTCTTTCTCTCGAAAGAAGTTACATAAGAAAATGTATTTTTTTTATCGCAAAGCAGATTTGTTTCGTGTTTTAGCTATATGTCGTTGTTACAATGAATATAAATTCGTTGTAAAATTTGATTGTAAAATGCGTACCATACACTGTGTCATCTTGCTATTTCGGTGTCCCCGACGTTGCTCAACGAATGCGATATTAAGGTAAACATTCGCGTGGATTGCTTGGTCAACCGCCAGTAAGCTCATTTCACCTGCTGGCGAATGAGATATTTATAATTCGCATATAGGACCGCGTTTGCTTTGGATCCTTGTCGAATTGTCGAGGCTGCCAAAACGGGCTCGCAATTATTGTTACTATGTAAATACATTGTATCGATTGTAAGCGGATTAGACGAGCAATAGAACTTGCTGCATCGTAAACCGAAATGATTTTCGTGAACCGAATATATTTTCTTTAAAGTTTTATTTTTAACATCGATTTTTAAAATTTGATGTATTGTCTCAAAATCTTGTTAAAGTCAAAACTCAAAGAATACAGTTATAATTGTAGATTTATAATTATAGTTATTGATATTTTTAATCATAACTTGCAAATTTCTTTTTAATTGATCACTTAATTGCGTCCAGAAAATATAGGCGTTTTATTTCCTTTTCCCATATTCGATATTCGTTGAAGATCATCGGATCTTAACTTTTCTTTTTCAGAGGAAGGAGTATGTCAAATATGCAAAGGTGTTCCCGCTCTCTGGCACGTTCGACTTCAAGGTACCCAGCAAATGGTATCGAAGAGTCGTCGGGTCGCTTGAGATTATCTGCGGCTTCGCCATGGCGATTATTCCAAGTCGTAGGTGCAAAAAATTAAACACCTTCGATCACGATATCCTCTCTTCGTTTCTTCATCGTTGACAGACACTTGTCCTGGGAATTATCCGTTTCGCGGATCTTTAGTGCATCAAATGATATCATCGCAACAAAAGTATCGTATCGTCGGTTCATAGGTGTATTTATTGTCGCAAATCCCTCATTTTTAGCTTACACAAAGTCTGCGATTCATAGATTCTTCCCGTGCGTTCTTGATATTAATTTCTTGTTACTGCTCTTTACAAATTCCTACCGCCATACCTCTGTCGCTATTAACACAAGATATCACGATATTTAGCAAACGGAATTGTGAATTATTAGAATAATCCTGTAAATTGTTTTCAGATAAAATTAAAAATTTCTCGAACACAGTGCTTCTATTCTTGATGTTGATGGCTGTGTACTCTCACTACATGGTCAACGACAAGTTCGAGAGGACCGCCCCGGCATTGGTAAGTATTGGTTGTAGATATTGTGTAAATCGAGTTCCGCGAGCTGTAAATTCGCGTATGACTTCAGGTGTTCTTCTTTCTGCTGACGGGGCGACTGGTGATTGACTGGCAGCTGAGACGAAAAGAAGCGCAATCGGTGACGGCGAACGGCGTCGACGACAAAACTAAGAAGCAAGACTGAGCAGGATTATGGCTAGAGAATGCGTGTTCGTCCGTTTCCACGTTGACCCACTTGATTCTACTGTTTCATTTCTGGAACACGAGGCCTCTGACCATGTTACTATATTTATTTTAAACGTACTCTCTCTCGCTTCCATTGTTCCAGAAGTGGGACTTCTACGTCAAAATACCATAATACGATTATTTGACGAATAAACTCGATATACTTATCGAAAAAAATATGTACAATCCAAAAAGAAGGGAAACGGTAATTCGGAATCACGTGGGTTAAGTTTGTATAAAGTATACGTCTCTCCAGGAATAGAGATGAGATGGAGAACGAATTCAAGGTGATTATAACGCGAATAGCGAAATGAATTTTCGTTGCACTCTATGTCCACTTTGCGCACTATTATTGCAGTATGAAAAGCATCGTTAAGTTCTCGGACACGATGAAATCCGCCATTAATGGAAGTTACGTGAAGAAGTAATCTTGAGTAATCTTATCATGTCCTTTTTTTATCGACGAGTTATTTACTCTAATAATATACAATGGATTATGAATCTTTCTCGATGAATGTTGCTTAGAGACGATTACAAATCTGTAATATAAAATCCGACAGCAATTGTAGTCTGATGATCGGTAAAACGTCGTTTTCGCTAACTGACGATAGTGTTTCATCCCGCAACATTGATTCACTCAGAGACTATCGCATCAATGTCGATTGACGCTGGCCAGGATTAAGAAAAAATTATTTCTCTCTATTTATAATTAAGGTAACAAGGAACAAAAGATCGCTAACGGATTAACTGATGATTCTGATAAAATTAATTTTAGATGTAAATTAGCTTGGTTACATCACTTTAGTCAGCAAATATCTGCCTCTTTCAATTCTTCTTGCAATTACACTACAAGCAGTTACGTAATATAAAATGCTGTAATATAAACAGCTGAGTTCTAGATAACTATGATAGTGAAACTAGAGATAGTCACCATGTAGACAGTTATAAGTAACTATACATGTATGTAATATAAAAAGTAATAATCGAGACGATTAGCTGTAAACTGTATAAGCAGAAAAAGGAGATTTGAGTTGCCACGTGTGATATCAGTCGACATCGGTACGTTGAGTCTTGAGTGATATTAGCTTAAGCACGAGGTACTAACTGCCACTTGAATGAATGCGTCCTTATACATGTCGTGCGAGCGTGCGTGTATGAACATACGAGAAATGTTTCGTAGTAATCGGAACATCTCTCTGTGCGCATTAGTGTTAATTTATTCCTTAAAAGCTCCATATGCGGATAACGAGTGTGATCAGATAATTTGATAAATAAAGCTTAAAGTGAAACTTAGCGGATAGACTTTTTGTCCAATTACCAAACGACATCTATGACAGTTGCATATCTTCGAAAGCTTCTTGATCGATTTTGAGCATCGATTTTGGAATGTTTATTCGTGATGCACTTTAAGAATATTTGAATGTAACTCCGAAAAATCCTTTTACCGCAACGTTCCACATGTAATTTACATAAATCGAAATCGATAACTCACCGTGGTCCGAAAAAATTCGTGTCATGTCTTCTGTTGAAAGCTTCTTTACGTCGAAACATTTTTTGTATATAAGATTGCAATAAAAAACATGTCTGAAATCTCTGTATCCTCTAAATAATAAAACCTTCCTCATATGTGTGATCGTTATTTGTATTCAATATTTAATGAAAATAAAAAAAAACATTGAGAGCTTTAATACTTGTATATTATTTATATATATTCCTGCTTTAGAGCATTTAGTATGTAAAAAATATATATTATGTACAGAGATAGATACATATGCTGTGACAATACAACAGAACTCGTCGACATTAAATAACATTGGCTGTTTTAAAACCCAATAAAAGGTGAAACTAAAATTGCATACTCATTTTTAATTAACAGCAACAATTAAAATCTATGGACACAGTTTGTAACAATCTTCGTCTTAATTAAGTGCACTGTGTTTGAGGTCGATTTGACTAGCTATTGTAAACTTGCTTCTACTGTATTCAAAGGTAGTAAAAGCCGCAAACATCTATAAAAAAAAATATTTATTTCTGGCCTTTATGCGAAATAGGCGACGAGTTTAGCACGAATAATTGTAAATAAGCTATTACCGTGTATATGCTATTTATCCACTTTTTTCATCTAAGCAGGTTCTTGACCCGTAGTCAAAAGATGCAAAGCTTTCTGAAGATTCATTATGGAAGTAGGTATGTCGTCGTAGTCCAGTGCACTGCCTGCCCATTTGATCAACTTTTGGGCCTTACCAATTTGTTCCACTGACAAATTGGCACCACCTATATGAGATCATATTATGTGTGAGAAATAATATATAATTATTTAATATAAAATTATATATATATATATATATATATATAT